CATAACAACAACAAATCTTTAATGCAGTAGATTGCCCCGTCTTCTTTCTACAGAGTGGGCTGGTGGGTTTGAATTGCCAATCTTCAGGAAAGCAGCCAAATGCCTTAGGCATTCCACCACCAGAACTCCTTAGACAAACAATAGACAGGGCCTATAAGGTAAGCAACAACACTAGGGAGGTACATACACTTAAAACAAACATATGAGATCAAAAAGGCAGGTATAAAGCTCAGAAGGCAGGAAGAGATAGGAAAGAAGGATGAATAGAAACAGCAAACAGGGAGGAAGCAAGAAGAGTGCTGTTACATTGAAGGGATTGCAATCAATATCACAAAACAAAATGTGTATGAATTGTTAAATGGAAAACCAATTTGCTCTGTAAACTTTCACCCAAATCACAACAAAAATTTTAAAAATTAAATAAGAAATCAAACAACGTATTGCATTGGGCAAATCTGCTGCAAAAGACTTAGTTAAAAGTCAAAGATATTACTTTGAGGACTAAGGTAGGCCTGACCCAAGCCATGGTAATAGCCTTATATGCATATGAAAGCTGGACAATGAAGAAGGAAGACTGAAGAACTGATGCCTTTGAATTATGGTGTTGGCAAAGAATATTGAATATACTATAGTCTGCCAAAAGAACAAACAAATCTGCCTTGGAAGAAGTACAGCCAGAATGCTCCTTAGAAGCTTACTTTGAACATGTTCTCAGGAGGGACCAGTCTCTGGAGAAGGACATCATACTAGGTAAAATAGAGGCTCAGTGAAAAAAAGGAAGACCCTCAAGGAGATGGATTGACACAGTGGCTGCAACATTGGGCTCGATTATAGCAAGGATTGTGAGGCTGGTGCTGTGTTTCCTTCTGTCCCACATAGAGCCACAATGGGGTCAGAACTGACTCAACATAACCTCACAACAACAACAAGCAGCAAATGCCAAAGCTGCCAGCTTTCTGAGAGATGAGCCACAGAGCTGCACTGAAGATGAGGAATATCTGTAAGTCTGCTTAAAGCTCCTTTGTTTGAGAATCCTTCATGCTTGTTATGTTTGAAACCTGTGTCTCCATACCTATCTTTAGAAGGAACATATTCCTTTGTTTCCCAAATAAAGAGAGTTGGAATTGAAGTCCACCATGGGTCCATGAAATTTCTGCCCTAAGGATAGTAATTTTAATATTCATTAAAGGGCCTCACCTAGAAGGTCAATCACTGAGTGAATACTGAAACTTGGACACTTAGGAAATTTGAATTATTTCTACCTTCAGGCCAAAGGTGAGGGCCAGGGAGGTAATCCATAAAAGATGTTTAACATTGCATCTGAAAAGGGATTAAGCGCTAGTGAAGCTCTTCAAAGAGTTATTGTCTCTAAGTGTCCTGATACTGTGCTCCATTTTGGCAGATCCTTCAACAGTGTATGGTGGAGACTGTTCCAAGTACATCCAACTCCACTTTCTTTTTTTTCCTGGGCATTCAGCTAGACTGCATTCTCCACCCTCTCTTGCCATTAGATGAGACCATATGACTGAGTCCTGGCCAAAGAAATGAAGACAGAAATAATGGAAATTACTTCCAATCCCAGATCATAAAAACACCAGTGCAGTCCTCCATGGCCTCCATTTTTTTTGCCCAACCATTGGCTAGATGAGGAGCTCTGGTAGCACAGTGCCTAAGGCATTTGACTGCTAACCAGAAGGCTGGTGGTTCAAACCCACCAGCCACTCCTGGGAAGGAAGATTGGGCAACCTACTTCCGTAGAGATGTTGCCTCAGAAACCCAAGGAGGGGTCACTATGCCGTGGATCCAACTCCACAGCAGTGAGTTATGTTTCTTTATTGTTTTGTTATTGGCTAGATAGAGTGGACATCCAGGACCTATAGGAGAGCAGTCACAAGAAAGAAGGGACTCAGGTGCCTCAATCACCACATGGAGGAGGGCTGCCTGACCAGAAACATGAGCATACAATGCCATTGCATGAGTGGTAAATAAATGTTTATTGTATTAAGCCACTTTGGCATTATTTGTAGCAGAAGTTTGCCTTCCTTAATTGTGAGGATGTGTTATTGTCCAGTGAATATTCATGTGCCTTCCCCCCACCATGTTGCTGTTTGTTATGTGCCATCGAGTCGACCCGACTCACAGAGACCCCTCCTTGGGTTTCCGAGGCAGTATCACTACGGAAGTAGATTGCCCAACCTTCCTTCCGAGGAGTGGCTGGTGGGTTTGAACCACCAGCCTTCTGATTGCAGTCAAGTGCCTTAGGCACTACGCCACCAGAGCTCCTTCCCCTCCACCATAGGTGGACTATATTTCTCCACCTCACTGATGTTGGACTTGGATATATAGCTGGCTTTGGCCAATGGGGTATTAGAGGACATGATGCTAGCAAAGGCCCAATGTGCATTTACACACACTTCAATGTTTCTACAGTCTCTTGTGGTGCTGCTATCTTATTGTTTTGACATCAGCCTGAAAAGAACAAGCTCCAGCTAGCCATCTAATCTAAAGAGCATGAGAGACCCATAGAGCAGACCTGGATGCAAGCCAAAGGCTTGGAGCCAAGCCCAGTCTAGCCCTGCCCAGCACCAGCTGATCTGCCATGTATGAGCGAGTATAAATGACTATCTTAAGCCACTGAGTTTTGGAGTAGTTTGTTACATAGCATTTTTGTGGAAATGGTTGACTGATACACAGTTAAAGTGGAAGTGTGGCATTCTGATGCCTGTCCTTTATCTCATTTAAACTTTATGTTGTTGCTGCTGTGTGCCATCCAATCAGTTCTGACTCATAGCAACCCTATATGACAAAGTAGAGCTGTTCCATAAGGTATCCTAGGCTGCAATCTTTATGGAAGCAAATTGCTGTGTCTTTTCTCCCAATGAGTGGCTAGTAGGTTCGAACTGGCTGCCTTTAGTGCTTAACTACTGTACACCAAGGCTCCTTATTTAAGCTTTATAAAACAAACATCCATTCTAATTCAACTCATTACAAGCCTAATTTGCAGATAAGGAGCTCTGTTGTCATAGTAGATAAACCATTTGGCTACTAACCAGAAGGTCAGAGGTTCAAACCCACCAGGTGCCCACCACCACCAGCACCAGCACCACCCTCACCACCACCCCGGCTCCTAAGGAAAGAAGATGGAGCAATGTGCTTTGGTAAAGATTTACAGCACAGAAAACCTAGTGGGGGGCCACTATGAATCTGAATCAACTCGATGGGAGTGAGTTTGGGTTTTTTATGTTACAGGTAAGAAACTGAGGCACAGGAAAAGATTTGCCTAAGGTCACACAAGGAGATTGGTATGTCAAAGTTAAAAGACTAAACTTTTCCCCACTGTCCCAAATGTACTGAGGGAATGTGAGAACAGTAGATAAAATAAGGAAGGGATGGACAGAATTCAGATGTTTCCACCAAATCCCACTTTAACAGAGTGGGGTAATACTCCTTGACACTTGAAAAAAAGTAAGTTCATGACAAATAAAACAATGGCCACCCGTTGGGTTGTTAATTTGTGGAATTTATTACCTAAAGATGTTGCAGAAGCTGTAAGATTTGGATACCACTACTACAATAGGTTGTTGTTATGTGCCGTTGAGTCAGCCCCGACTCATAGCAACCCCTCCTTGGGTTTCCGAGGCAGTATCACTACGGAAATAGGATTGCCCAACCTTCCTTCCGAGGAGTGGCTGGTGGG